ACATCTGAGTGAAAGAGACAGGAAGATCCTGTGATGCTTAACAATAGGTGCTCCCTATATAGCTTTTGTCTTGCTTTTCTCATATATACAAAGCTCACTGTACGTTTTGTGCATGAAAAGAAAAGAAAAAAAAGTCCAAATACAGCTGCATTGCATTACATGGATTCTTCAGGGTCCCCACGGGGCAGCCCCCCTTCTCAATAACAAATAATTGCCCAGGTGCTAGAAAACAGTTCTGGGAATGTGACTTGGCTCCATAAATCTCAAACATGAATAAAGCCTTCCCCAGGAGTGGGAAGTCACTGAGATTTGTCCCTCAGGAAGCCCTGGAAGTGGAGGGACCACCCATTACTGAAAAGGGAATTGCTGCCTGGTCTGAAGAAGCAATGGGAAGAGGGAAGAAGGTCTATTTCATATTTTTTGTTCGTTGAGCTTTATTGACCTGGACCTGAGTGTTTGTGGATGGACTGAAGTGGGGCAGAAAGCCCTTTGTGGGCATGGCTTTAGCATTTGGTGTCTGTAGCTGGCAGGAGACAAAATTTGCCCACAAATGTTACAGTATTTCTATACTTTGCTCAGATTTCTCTCTCCAAAATCACAGTGTAATAATCCAAATCCTTCACTAAAGACATCAGAATGTATTCTAAAAGCAGTGCAGTTTCATTGCAATATATTCCCTAATAGAATGATTTAAGTTAGTTGTTGATGTAATAACTGCAGCCACAGATGGACAGGACGAGGGCTTGGTGGAAGGCTTCAGAAGGGACTCAGTTGCTCCTGTCACGTACAGGGATAACAAGTTGATAACATTTCCAGAATTGACTTTGTTTCTGTCATCTAAAAGAAATCCCCTTGCCCACGATAAAGAGACTTCGGAGACCTCTGTATCAGATAATTACATTGTAACTGAGATAAGGATGTAATAAACTTAATCACATGCTGCAAGTGAGACCCATCACACAGGCAATGAAACTATGGATGCTCGGGCTGCAAAAGCATACAGGTCACCCTGGACAACATTGTTTATATTTTCTATGTGACTTTATGAAAGTTTTAATAGGACAACAGGATAATCTGTGCCCATCTGTGTGAGAATCTCCCTTATTGGAGTAGAGGAGTGTGAAGGAGTCACTTTCTCCCTACACCACTTGCAAAGGGCATTGTTCTTGCATCCACCTGAGCCCAACTCACCTCCTGTGTATTGGGACTGCGGAACAGGCTGCAGAGTCAGCAATACACCCAGCCGACTGCACCAACATCTCAGTACAAAAGGCACTGGGAAATCCTTGTACATTTGCTTTGGGAAAACAGCCAAGGAAGGGCACCTTACAGCTTAACAACCTGCTGTGCTAGGAGATGAATTTTGAGCCTGGACAAGGTGCACGGACTTGGGTTTCACTTTTCTGCCCCAAGCTCCTGTGAAGCTGTGGGTGCTCTCTCTATTTCCAGCCGTAAAACATAATAGAACCTCTTTCCTGCCTCCCAGGCATGCTGTGAGGATAAACATGCTGCAGAGATAGCATCTACTCAGGCATTGTGGTAGCTTCAGGGGACAGGTGGAGGGGGAATGTAGGAGCACCAGAGATAGAGAGCAGCGGGTACAGATGTCTGTGTGTGTCCTGTGGGCTGGTTGTGCATCCCGTGTGTTCACACTCGACAGACACAGACACACACAAAGCAAATATGGGCTGTCTGGTTATCTGCCCCATGGTGGCTTTATGGGCACCACCCACACAAGCTACTCAGATAAGGGCAGCACATAAGGCAGTTTCTCAGCTTGTCTTTAAAATGTAACAAAATGAGGGATAAAGCTCTTCAACATTTTTGCTTTTCTCACTTTTGATGTATTTTGTATTTAAATATCAAGGCTTGCTTTTTTTTTGTTTTTACAAAATAAATTATGTACTCCCCCTAGTGTCAGAAACAGTATATAGGCTTAAACCACTTTTGATCAAGTGCTGCTATAAATGTTAAAGTAAGGTTCAATATCATTTCTCCACATTTCAAGATTAATAAGTTATAGTAATAGGTAAAATTAACAGCTGCTCCAAATGCTGCTGTTCTGCCTCCTCAGTGCTGCAGCCACAGAAAAGAAATGTATTATTAAGCAGCAAAATAAAATAAGTGCTTGTCGAATTTGTAAAGGCAGGTCTTTGATTAGTGCTTTTTGTCACCCTTTTTAATTCTAGTTCGAAACTGCTGCTGAAAGGAAATGTATGAAAAGCCAAATTGCACAACAGAAATGTGCCAGAGCGGAGAGCTAGAATGGGAAGAAAATCCAGGAAAGGTCTGCTGAAATTCAGCAGAGAAGAACAAGAGAGTCATCTCAGTACCTTCGTATCTATTGCAGGTGCATGGGCTTTCCCAGATCTTCTTTTACTGTAAATTGCAAGCATTTGGAGCATGGTTCCTGTGGCTTTTAGAGTACTCTGAGCAAACGCATAAGGCAGCAAGCCCACCTGCTGGAACCATTCAGCTGCAGAAGGTGCAATGTGTTCCTGTCCAGTTTTCTATAAGCAGCATTGGGTCTTCCAACAAGCTCAGAGGAAGGGGTAGGTGAGACAGCACTGCTGTCTCTCAGCAGAAAGAGGTCAAGCAGAATATCAGATGTCCATTGGGGTTTTCTTCTCTTATGCATGCTGTTTTTAAAACATGTCTAGAGGAAACACCCTCTGTTTTCCACTAATTGGAAAAAAGAAATGGTCTTGGCAGCTGGCTGCCTGCAGAGATGCTGGCCTCCCTGCAAGTAAGGTTGCAGATGCACAGATCAGTACGTGAGCAGGGGAAGGTGGAAGTGAAAAGTGCTTGAGGAAAGCCAGCTCCAGGGGAGCTTCAGCCTCAGCTCCTGGCCCTGGTGAGCATTTCAGTGTTGAGGCACAGACAGGCAATTCTACTCTGAGGTGGTGAGTCTGGATGTCAGCCACTGCTGACCATTCACAAACAAAGCTCCTTTTCTCCAGCCACCTGACCACTGATTATACGTGTCTAATTTTATCCAGCCACTTTGAAAGAACTATCATTACCTCTCGCCTAATCCTCGCTCCAGACATCCTGCTCTGGACTGGCAGGACATCGGCAGTGCAGGGGATGCTTCAGACATGTATGATGTGAGAACAGAGCTGTGGAGGGCCGGGTTGGGTGCCACATCCCTGGAGACACACAGTGGCCCCAGGTAGGCCTGCAGGAAGCTCAGGAGGTGCACCAGTGCTCATCTGGAATAACCACACCTTCTATACAACTCTGAGCAGCTTCCAAGCCCAGCTTTGGGAACTAAAAGTAAACCATAGACTGTGATGCTGTTGATTTCTTAATAATATACAGGGCTGTGCCCTGAAAACTGTGTCACGGTGCAGCTTGCCTATCTTCTCAGCAGAGACGCTGCAAGCACAGCACTGTGCGACCCCCTCCACACACCATGAGGAGTGCCACTCACTTTTTAAGGGAGGGAGAAAACACCTTTTGCTGTTTTTCTCTTCATGGTGACAACAGCCAAAGCTTGGTCACTGGAAAATCTTCTGCATTTCTAGAAAAACATTACTGCAGCTTGGCCTGTTCAGAAGATTCTCCTGCCTACTCTTCCCCTGCTTGCTACAGCCAGGATGCATGTTGGACCACGCAGCAAGCAGAAAAAAATGCCCTTTTCCTGAAGATGAAACTGAGAAGTGATTTCTTTACCACAATCCCATCTCCCTTCAGCAGGCACTTGGCCCTTGAGCATTCTCTCTCTTTCAGTGCTTTCTTATTCCCCTAGTGATACACCCTAACTTGTTATTCAAGCTGCATCCAGTGCCACCTGAGCGTGTGTCTTTTTGCACCTTCCTGCTGCTGTCTCTCTGCCACACAGTCACACATTTTCAGCTGATGCTCTGCAGCTCACACTGAGTGATGCAAACCTGCAGACCCCTTCCGGCTATATGGGTGTGTTTGTACTGCCGTGTCTTGCCATGTTTTGGGCGGTGGTATCTCCTGCTTTAACTACCTGGTTTCATGCAGATGTTCATAGGCTCCTTTATGTTAGTATAGCTTTTGTATGCCTCAGTAAAACTTAACCAATTCTTAGCAATACTTAGGTTATTTTAATTTAGGATTTTCTTCTCTTTCACTTAATAAATGACAAAACTAGTCAGAGATCTGTAAAATACTACATCAGAATTTCACAGCTATGTTACTTGGTTCAGGTCCAACAAGCAGCTGTGCAAGCTTATGTCTGAGACATTTTATTGCATATCTTTAATCTTATGGGGAATAACTTAGTGGGATGAACTTGGCAGAATGAGGGTCTCAGCATGAGACTAGGAAGTAATCTGCCTCAGGAATTGTGCCAGGAATATCGTATCTAACAGCACCATCCCTTATCTCCACTAATTCACTGACACTCAGAAGGGCATTTATGAGAAAACAGTATCCAAAGGAGACCATCAACATTTTTCCAAATAATTCAAGATGATTCCCAGGATTCACATCATGGAGACCCTGAGGAACAGCGAGGGTCAGTAATGCCTGGTGGTTCACAGCTGCAGGCTCAGAAATAACAGCCAGAACGTGCAACAAGAGAAACTGTGTTTAGATATAAGTATTTGGTTTTTCTTTACCATCAAAAACTGGAACAGTTGTGCAATGTATGTAATGGAGATATTCCAAACTCAGCTGGAGAGGGCCTCAAGACTCCTTATCTGAATCCTCTTTGAAAAGGAGATTAGATGAGATGATATCCAATGGTCTCCTCTAAAATGATGCTGTTATTCTGTGATTACATGCAATGAAGCTATACAGCCACCTTCCTGGTATTGGGATGAATGCTTTGCGTTGCATGGACATTAAAACCCTTAACTAACACCTCCGTGCATTTGTATATTCCCTCTGATGGTCAGCCTTTACACTGCTGTTTTCCAACACGCAGAGTAGGTGTCGTGCCCATGTAAAAAATAACTCTTCCGTTATTGCCCCACTAGAGGGTGCTTTAGCAATATAAATCCTGAATACTTGATTTAATACTTCACGACAGTCATCAAACTAGAGAACTACTTTGCATATTGAAGACTACCAATTCTTTGGAGACACTCTGAAAAACTGTGTGATAAAGAATCCAGGATGATGCATTTATGCTTGTGTGATAAGCATGCAAACACCACAAATAAATAGAAAATCACGGAATCTTTTCAGTTGGAAGGGACCTTTGAAAGACATCTGTTCCAGCTCCCCTGCAATGAACAAGGACATCTACAGCTGGATCAGGTTGCTCAGAGCCCTGTCCAGCCAGACCTTGAATGTTTCCAGGGATGGGGCTTCCACCACACATTTGGTGGAATCTGTGCCAGAGGCCTTAAATGGCCTCTTCCAACTCAAACAATTCTACGATTCGATGATTTTATGACCCTAGGTACACAAGAGCAGAAAAAAGTTAGCTCTTGTCTTAGGAGTGGTTGCAGATGTCATAGACAATCTTTTCATGCTATGAAAAAGTGTGGTGTCACACAGGCAGATTTTTTGCTGATGCTGTTTTACCCAAGATCTTTTACTTACCCTTATCTTCTCAGCTGCTCAAACTCAACAGTGATCTGACATTTATCATCACATATGCAAGTAGTGGCTCAGGGATTATTCAGGTCCATTCTACTGTAGCTTTTGAAATGCATGACAGCAAGGTAATAAACCCATAGGCAGTTTTACTATAAGCTACAAGTCTGTCATTCAGCCCCACAAGCAAAGCATTCTTCTATTGCCACATAGTAGCCCTGGCTTCAGCAGTAAGAAGCTAACAAAAAACAACCTTGGTTATGGACAGTTGTGAAAGCTTGTTCAAAATTAAACACCTAAATGTATATATGCATATATATATATATTATATGTGTATTTATGTATCTGTGTATAAGAGAAATGTAAAGAGATGGGTTGCATGGAAATAAGAACCTACTTTAGGTAATTAAAATCCCATTGGAAATCTTGGAGGGAAATAATTTTCCAGTGTTTGTCCTTTTCTTGAAGAAAGTATGTGGAGGACAGAAGGGTAAACTCCCTCCTCAGGCAGGAAGGCTGTAAGGCTTGGCCACAGCCCAGCCATCACCAGCACTTCTTTCACCTCAAGAAAGGGAAGGAAGAAAGGAAGGAAGCTCCCTAAACCTCATGCTGTTATGGGCGTATATAAAGGATAATAGCGCAAGGCTACAGCCATAAAAGCTCTGGAGTGAAACAAAATATAGCTCCCCACAGATAAAGGCAAACAGGTAATATTAACAGTTAGAATATATGAATATGACTAAGGCAACAGTTGTCCAGGCATGCAGCAAGGCAGGAAAATCATCTACTGATAATATCATGAAAAGTATCATCAGTTGTCACTAAAAGGGCCACCTGAGATCAGGCAGTCAACACAGTTAACATCAGCAGCTGAAAGCCAGGACGCAGGCTGCAGCCAGGAACAGTCAGACTGCCAGTGTTCATGCATCCAAGAGGCCCTCAGACTTGGGTGTCCATCCAGAAGTACTCAGCAGCATGCCAGGCTCTGGCTGCAGTTGTTAGTCAAGGGAGCACTGCTCAAGACACGCCTCTGGCTGATATGCTCCCATGAAGAGAAGGCCATTTTTCAGCCTATACAAAGCTCCCAGTCCAGCTCCCAGTTGGGTTACGTCCAGCAGGACAGAGGTGATGGCACAGAGACCAATGGCTTCAGGCTCTGCTGGGAAGTCACCCTGCAAATGAAGCCCAAAGCTGCCTGTGACTGTTCTGCAGAGCTTGAGTAATAAAAGAGGTTTTACAGCAGAGTGGTGTTGATGCCGTTGCTTTCTCTTAAAAAGGGGCAGAAAAAAAGGGGTAACAAAATTATTGAATAGCCAGCTCCTTTTCCAAATTTGAAGGGAATAATTAAACTACTAAATCAAAAACTGAAGAAGATAAATGACAGACAATATGGTTTTTTTTAGGAATTAAGCATGGCAAATTCAATTCTTCCTATGGTAACAAGTCATGCTAATTTTGAGAAGATCACACCTGGCCCTGCTTTAGTTCCCCCCCATTGTCAGTAGCCTGTCTCTTCTGGCCTGGTACAACAAACTCATAAAAGAGAGTGAAATGTGTGCTAGCAGACATTTACAAGTGGCATACAGGTGGCTGGGGAACACATACTTAGACCATAGCTGTCAATAGCTCCCAAACGGAAGGAATGTGTCGAGTGTGGTCTGTCCTCAATCTAGTACAATTCAATATTTTCATTAATGACTTGTATGATGAATTAAAAAGCATACTTTATTAAATTTTCAAGCAACACCAATGTTGGAAAGGCTGCAAGCAGAGAGGAGCACAGAAGGAGAATTCAAAACATTCTTGACAAATTAGGAAAATGGTTTGAAAGTAATAGGCAAAAATTCAATAAGGGCACACAAATCCCTATATTTATTTCTTCAAATGCAGGATGGAAAATGCCTGGCTAGGCAGCAATACTTCAGTAGAGCACTAAGCTTTTCAGTGAATCACAAACAGATTATGAGTCAACAACATCACACGGTTGCAAAATAAGCAAACAGCATCCTGGTGTACCTGAGGGAAAGTTCTGCCTCAGAGCCAGATGAAGAAAGGTCTGCCCATAAGCAGCACTAATAAACACTCAGTCTGGGACAGCACCAGTGATAGAGTCCTGGCCAACTGCAGAAGGACTGGAGGAAAACTGTGAGGGTGAAAAGAAGTCCATAAAGCATGACCTATGTCATGAGAAGGGAGCGGAAAAGCATGGGGCTGTTTAGTACAGAGAAGGCTGAAGTGATGGACACAGAAGAACATCATGAAGTTCAGCAAAAGTAACTGCATAGTCCTGCATCTGGGGAGGGATAACACCATGCACCAGTACAGCGTGGGAGCTGACCTACTGGAAAGTAGACCTGCCTTGGTGAGCTCTCACACTCAAGGAGAAGTTGGGAGGTAACTGGAAGGACAGGAACTTGTTGAACACACTGGAGAAGCTTAACCTGCCTCTCATCTTTGAAGGTGCTCATTCCTGACAGCATAAATGTCACTTTCCAGGATATAGATGTCCAGGAAAACTTTCCACTAGGCGTTGAGTCTTTCCCTGCGCTGCTTGTCCTAGTTGAGGAAAGGCTAGTAGAACAGTATTTCGTAACCAGATGATAATTTCAAATGCATAATTATCTATCAAGATACCATATGTCCTATCTTGCCTCTGAAAACAGAAAGAATCCTACTTTTTTTTTTTTTTTTTTTTTTTTTTTTTTTTTAAATTTCAGCTTGCTAACATAATCCCATCTGATAAAAAATAAGATGAATAATGGCAAGGAGTTACTTCCTATCGGTAGTTTCTTCACTAAGTAGATCTATTTTAAAACATTCACTTAAGGCACCTGCCATTTAGTAACCAAGAAACTACATTGGTCGAACTCTGCCAACACTGCAAAAACATTGCAGCCTCCCAAATCAGAGACCACTATAATTATCCTGAGGAGTTGACTGTGAGTGATAAAATTACCACATCTTAAAGCCTGATTTCCTGTCAGCTGAGCCACAGCACAGCCTGTTTGGCCTAAATAATTTCATACACAAATAGATTATCTCCTAATTCATTTTGTTACACAGGCAGATGAAGTAGCCACCTCATCTGTGGGAAATTCTTAGTATAAAGCAGTTCATTCATACAACAGGTTCAGCTTCAACAGGCACAAAGAGAGCAGAAAGTGAACTGATAGGGCCTTTTGGGATGCAAATCAAAGAATCCAGGAGTGTCTGGAAGAGACCCAAAGGGTGCTGTGGTTCGTAGAGAGACCTCTCCCAGGGCAGCTGGGTTGGGTACCTGAAGTACCCCTGGAGTGTGAGATGCTCTGGGTCATGAGTGTGGAAGAGGGGTTCATTTTAGCTCCTTTGGTCAAGCATAGTAGGAATTGATCTAAATAGAGCCAGGCATTTTGGAAGAGGAATCCATCTCTGCCAGCATCCTTCATCACTTCTGCACCCATTCCCAACCATGATAGGCTGTAGCCTCACCTTTACTGGCAGAAGAGGATGTGCTGAGATTAGGTTCAGTTATGCCTGGGTAGGACAACCTCTCAATGAAAACAAAAACAAACAAACAAACAAAAAAAATCACTGAATTCGTTAGAGAAAGCTCAAAATGTGCTTTGAATATGGTTTAAATCTGTATATTCTAATCATTCTAATCATACATGGAAACATGTGTGGATCACGAGAGTCTACTGGTACACGGCTGGATCAGAGTAGCACTACACAGTTTATAAACATATGGATTACCTCAGGGACCTCGAACATGCTCCCTACAAACAGGGAGGGAAATAACAGTTTTTCTACTGTTGCAGACTGTGAGTGCAGCCTTTAAACATGTAAAATGGTGAAATCATTGCAATATTTTGTTTGATAAATGGTGGAATGGTATTGAAATATTTAAGCTATTGGTGGCAATATTTTATAGGGATGTATAAGTCGTGACCCTACTGAAGTGTGAAGAAAACAACATATGTCATTATTTTACCTTTTGCATAAAGAAAAAAAAAAAACACCAGAACCAATTATTTAACCTAGCTGCTGTATTTGATTGTGATTTCTATGCCTGTCAGATAGCAGTTAGCAGGACTATTAAAGTACATTAGCTCTCTGCTGGTGTTTAATGACAAACAGACACGGTCCATATTCATCAAGCAATTATTTATACCACAACCTTTTATAGAGCTGTGAATTACCCTTAGGACTTTTGCAGTGACTGATATTTCTAATAAACTGTTAATTTTGCTCCATGAATTGTTCATATTTTTAAGCTGGGAAACTAAAAACTGTGAAATTAAACCTACAATGCAAGCTGTGCAAATGGGATCTATGGGATTAGGACACAGTTTCAGGTCACTCTAATGCAATAAAAGTGCATCATTACAGCAGAAATTAGAGGTAGCTGCAGATATTAAAACAATGGACTTACAAGAACAAACACACGTGGCCTGCCAAGGCAAGGAATATACACATTTCCACAGCCCTGCTACTGGGACAGGGCAGGAGGTTGCCTCTGCGTCAGGTTTCTCCTCACAGCTCCGGAGGCAGCAACTCTATCACACACTTCGCCCTTTTCCCTGCCAGCTCCCTGCCATCAGGATGATGCTGACATACACACCCCAAAGATGCCTTGTGTTATCAACACACTTCTGCTGGGAATCAAACAATAAAATGGAAATTTGGGGGCCAGGCACACAACTTCTTAGTTATGTCAAATATCCTCTGATGCTAGTGGAGGTGTTGTTCCAGAGAGAAGCATATGTTTCTGACAGATCTGGCTCCTGTCACAGTGCACATGTCCCAGATCTGAAACTTAGGCTTCTTTGGCTCTGTCAAGGAGCCCGATTTTACAAGGTACTTCACAAACAGCGTTATGGATGGGCATCTGGTGAGCTTATCATGAGGGCCACGGAACTTAATTTCCTACATTAAGACACCTAAGCACATTAAGAAAAATATAATCTGTCCCTAAATGACTGGAGTATCTTTGCCTCATTTCTAGAGGTGACGGAGGCCCTGCAGTCTCCATCAGCCTGTGGAGAGGTATCTATCTCCTTCCACCTGGGTTTCCCTGAGGTCAGCCAGCAAGAGTCTCCAAAATGCTGACTGCCATGAAATGCTATTGGTGCCTTACTCCATATGCAGTAATTAAGCCCTGTAGGAGCCCAAGTGTGTCTGAAACTCAACAAACATTTGGTTTTAATGCTGGAGCCACAGAAGGGACTGATGCTGGCTGTCACAGTCATGGTGGTGATGCTCCCATACATCTTTCTTCCTAAATGCAATTTCCTGCCCATAGAGGGCTGGATAATATACCAGTATAATTAAAAACTGAGTACTTATTATTTAGCCAAAAGCATTAGAATGGATCTTCATATAATAAATTCTTGCATTCCTCTATAAGGAGCCAAAACCATAATAACAAGAAAATCCGTCTCTACTGCTACATTGAAGGCCAGAACAATTTTTCAGGAACAAGGATCAACTCCCAAAAAGAGAGTTCAGCAGAGAAACACTGATCTTACAGCTTCGAACAAGAACCTTATCATTTGTGTTTCTCATGTTTTGTATCTTGACAATTTTCTCTTCCTCAGCAATGCATAGCACTGGAAAGCCACATCATTATGTGCTTTCTAAATGGATTTTCTTCTCAATACATAGAATATGACTTATTTAGCAAAACTCTTTAAATTTTGATGCAGAGCATTAAAATACAGCTTATCTGTAGCTTATTCAGTAGAAACTCATTTCTTTTCTTACCTGTTGCCTTGTCACTATTGAAATTTCAGACTAGGAATATCCTAGTCCGTATTTAGACAGCACCAGGCACCAGGGTTTCCTGTGTACTGAGCTGAAATAAAAGCTAAATAATTAATTTGAAGTCTATGACTGCTTTTGAGAAAAGTCTTTGATCCCCCAAAATGTAGTATGAAGTAGGGTTCTTATTTTGTTTTGCTTGATGCCACCTAGCATCCTGGAAAAGGACAGAAGATCCTGATTCACCATATCATGGAAAGGCCAAATGTATTTTACCTACATTCACTAAAAACCTTCAAGGAGAAAGGTAACTGACAGAAAGCACCAATTCCATCTGCTCCTGCTCATATAATGGTTTCAGCATGGCACTTATTGGTGAGATAGTGGCAGAGTTCGCTGGCTACCACATTGCAAGCAACATGCAATCCTGAAAATAATGATTCAGTAATGTTTTTCCTTCCAGTGCATACACCAGGAAAAAGATAGAGAACCATGATAAATACCATAAAACCCAGCTGCTATGTTTTTCTGCTGCCCACAGAGAAAAGTTATAATTGTCTCCACCCCCCCTCCCCCCACAAGCACTTCTGTTCAACCCTATAATGTCTCAAAATCTAATTCTTGCCTCAGGTTCTGTCTCCCAGGAAAGTACCAATAGGAGCTTGCTAGAAAATACAGTATATGGCAGATTTCTGTCAAAAAGAAAAATCCTAATATGCTTTCAAGGCTGCAGTGATTCTAGTTTTGGGAAAGAAATGAACAATTACAGTACATGTGGTTTTGGAGGTAACTGGAAAAGATTAATACTTCTGCCTTACGGTTAATGGAGTGGTATACTCCAGTTAAGAGTACAGTAAAAAGCAATTGTTTTGTGATTGCTTCATGAAATACAGGATGAAGTGACAAAGAGGGAAAAGATTTCTCACTTTGAAATGACTCAGGAGGATGAGGAAGTGAGTGGCTTCTTGTAACTTCAGCTGCCAGTGCTATTTCTAAGTAACAGAGGCTTTGTGGTCTTCCTGGGGCATTTTTAAAATCGTCAACAGCATAGATGTTTGTGGACACAAATGTCAATGTCTGTCTACCTAATGTAACTCAACTTTCCAGGAAGTCAGGCATTTGCCATTTAGTTTTCACAGCAATTAATGAGCAGTTAGATAAGAACACTCCTGGCTGCCTCTCTGCAGAGAAGCAGGGACTTCATGATTCCGCTTGCCGCTTACTATCTAAGGGCCACACTAACAATCAGCTGCAATCACAGCAGGCAAGAGTCACTTTCTAAGCAGCAGCAGCTGTTATGTAACGCCGTCTTCCAGATAATTCAGCAGTTGAACTATGTATTCTCTGAGGCTGGTTGTCATATAGGTGCTCAGTTCTATGTTTCATAGGCCCAGAAAAGTCTTTGTTTTAGTAAATGGATGACAGTGCAACCACGCAAAGAATCTTAAGGAGAGGAAAAGACCAGTCTTTGAGCAACAGGCACCCACCAGATGGCAGAAACATCCCTGACAGATTGGCACCCACAGTTTACCCATCCTGAAGGCTGGCTGGCCCAAGAGGAGGTGTGCCCTTTACAACAGAATCCCAAGGTTGAAAAGGACCTACAAGATCAACTAGTCCAACTGTCCTTCTATTACCACTGCTACCACAGGGATTTGATCAGCTACTCAGAGCCACACAAGAAGCAACACGTCCCCACTGTTAATCAACATTAGAAGCAGCACAGCTTGAGGAATGACAGGCTCTACATAATACATGAATTTGAAAAATGACATATGCATAGTCAGTAGTGTTGAGAACATTAGCATTTGTGCTGATTGGGCATTTTTGCAGAAGAAAAGTGTGACCTTCCTGTGATCCAGCAACAGGCAGATGTCTCACTGTAAAGTCAGAAAAATACTGCAAAGGGAAAAAAAAAAACCAACAACAGAGAGAACACTGAAGGCAGAATTACAGGATTTATAAAGGTGCTGACTTCGTATGAAGGATTGCTAGTTCAAATGTACTAAATATCAGCCCTGAGAGAAAAGAAACAATACTAAATCTGTAAATTAATATATAAATGTCATGGGTGAAGTAGAGAATCATAAGATCAACACAAAATGACCGGAGGGATTCAGACACACTTCACAAATACCAGCTCTCACAGTAGCACTATTATACAGAGGAATAGCCTTACCTCCGTCCTGTAGCTGGGGCAGTGGAAGTCTCCAGAAGCAGTGGTCTGGAGTCGTCCTCCTGAGCATCAGGCATGTGACTGCCATGTCACCTGTGCACACAGCTCCAAGTCACTTTTCAGTAAAAGAGATTCACGGTGATGATTTTCTTCATTTAGGCATCTCATTTACGTTCTTAATGACACCTACTAAATCTCAACCTAAACGGCTTTCCATTTCGCAATAGAATCATGGGGGTATTACAAAGAACTCAGAAGTCTCTGCCTCAAATAATTTGTTTGTTGTTATTTCTTTCTAAATAAAGCTTTCATTTTTTTTATTTTTTTCATAATCACGTTTCTCAGCAGAATACAAAACTGGCAGATATATTTGACATTTAGTTCTTCTTATCACTACTGTACAGACCACCTGTTGCAATTACTCATGCAAAATTAGAAGAATGTTTTACACATTTGCTGCTACCAATTTCTGACTTTTCATGAAGTTTTGGGTGTGAAGAGTTGGTTTGTCAGAGAAAGGGTAAGAGTTGAGAATTTTTTTTTTTTTTTTTTTTTTTTGCTTTTAGTTACTAAATTCAAATTAAATGGAAATGAACTAGTGCACTTCCAATCTACTCATCTCAGACCTGCAGAGAAAATATATACACCTCTGCTCCTTCTGCCAAGGAGGCCACCTAAGCTAAGGCCAGGTACCATGACTTCAGCAGTGAAGAGGGGAGCATCACTCCGAGCACAGACTACTGTGTGGCAGATGATCTCTACTGCTTTCCTGCTATCAGCAGAGTTGCCCTGGAACCACTCAGTCTCTTTTCTTCTTTTATTAGCAGTAACTGTAGTGGTAATATGGAAGGAACCTCAGGTTCCTTCTAAAACACAATTCAGGGCATCGTTTCTAAGCCTAACAAAAAAATTTGATGGCAGGAGCATTAAAGCCAATTTAAAGCACAAAAGAGCCTTCCAGAAGCTTTCAGTAAAATAAAAAACATCTCAGACAGATGCTCATAAACCTAGAGGTACAACAGAGAGGTAAAAAGGGGATTGAGAATGCTTTATTCTCTGCAGTAAGGTAGGGTTTAAGTCTGGGCATGAGATTGTGCTGCACTGCCAATTTCTCCCTTTACACAACCCAGTTTTATTGCTTTGATACTATTTGCATGAGTGGTTTCTTCTACTTTCTGTTCCACCTTTAAAAGAGCGTTTTCCCTATCGAGGACTGAAGACTCCACTTTAGAAACTGAAGCTTTCAAACAGTATATTTTCACAAACATATATATATATATATTGTTCCTGTAAAAAAAATCAAGGGATTTGGTTCATTTTATAGGTTAAGAAATATACAGGCTTTAGGAATTCAAGCACGCTGTGTAAGACATAGCACTTTGTCAAGACTTGACCCAAAGGTCAAAGAAGTTAGGGAAAACCTTCTATCAGATAATCCAGTTTGGAAATCAAGACTAAATATTATTATTTCTAAAATGTTCTGGAATGACTTAAAATATCCATTTTAATTATTTCAAAATAATAATGAATAATTTGGAGATAAGGAGAATATATAGGAATAACAGAATTATTCCAAACCTAAATTATACAACAAATACAATAATCTCTAAATAGGATGGTGCCTCAAGTCATTCATTACAGCCAGACACAAGCACTGAGAAACTTATTTAAAGAACTCCCCAACCTTGTCTGAGACTTTTTCCTCACTGGTGAAAATTATGTCCTATTTTGGAGTAATTTTGTGGTCCATCAATTCATTTCATTTACACAATTCAGAAGTCATCGAAAGCAAAAACATTTGAATGGACTGCTTCATCCACAAGCAAAAAGCATCACACTCCATTTTCAGCCTCCTTGGCCATCTGGTCTCTCACCAGCAGATCACTTTCAATTTTTACAGGCCACAGCAATAAAAAAATCATTTGGGGAATAGAGAAAAATATAATTAATTACTGTGACTTGAACTACTTCTTTTCCACATGGAGGACACTGATTTTTTAATTAACATTTTGTTTGATTGTTCTGAAGGGCAGGAGAGATTATTATCTAGACTTAATTACAGCACTATCCCAACCAGAAATGTTTACAAATTGCTGAACTGATGCAATACCTTTGTCTAGCGTGCAAGTTTGTCACTCCTAATTAATGTTCCTTGGAAAAGGATGCCAAAACAAAGCTTACAACAGTAACGACACAGGCATTAGGCACTAACAGGGGATCACATAATTGCCTCTATAAAGCTGGTATGACAGAACACTATGCCACTTTCTGCTCCTTTGTGACCAGCATTCACAAAGCAATTGCTCCATCAGAGAGCCAGATGGAAGAGAGGCCTGTGCGTATGTGTGTGCTGCAGAACATCAGCTCTGCAACAAAAAAGCCTTCAATAAATGCAATGCATAGAGGAGTCATCCTGACACACTCAGGAATTGCTTTGCATTACCTGTACCAAGGGGCCAAAATCCCCTGCCTGTAACAAAAGGCTGTGAACAGCCCCAGACTGGAGAAAACATGGTGGGGAATCTTAACAGTATCCATAAATAATGACAATGAGGACAGAGCCAGGCTCTTTTCGGTAGTGGCAAGTGCCTGGACAAGAGGCACTGGGCACAAACTAGAACACAGGAGGTTCCCTCTGACCATGTGGAAGCACTTCTATGTGTGGGTGACAGAGCAGAGGCACGGGGAGCCCAGAGAGGCTGGAGATGGGCCTGGGCATCCTGCTCTGGGTGTCCCTGCTTGGGTGAGGTTGGGCCAGATGGACCAGAGGTCTGTGACAACCTACACACCCTTTGATTCTGTGAGAATTACAGGACCATAGAATGCCTTGGACTGCCAGGGACCTTAAAGATCATCTAGTTCCGAACCCTTACCACAGACAGTTGCCAACCACTAGATCAGTCTCTAGATCTGGTTGCCCAGGGCCTCATCCAATCAAGCACGTTGGCCACTGGGCTGGCATAAACAACCCGCACCAGCCAGGCCTCAGTGCCACCTTGCTACACCGTGTGACGTCCTGCAGGCTGTGAAGTGCATTAACACCCTCCAGTAGTGCTCTTTGCAGCCCTGTGCACTTACGGACCCTCTGATGGGTGAAGAATCATCACTTCAGTGCTGAGCACTGACCTTACTGGATATCCAGTGAAACCAGGGCAGAAGCAAGGCTCCAGTCAGGCCTACCGCATACCCTCTGTCTTCAGGGAGCTGGGCAGAGGCCGTGTGGGGGTTTGAGGTGCCCCCAAGAGGCACAGCTGAAGTCAGGTGGGTTTCTTTATGAACCCCCTTCACAGCTTTAGTACAGCACTTCTGGAAAGAACTGATTAGACATTGTAACTTGATTTCAAGTACTGAGTTTAGACAGTGATCTAAAGATAGCAGTGGTTACAGGGCTCTGTGGCATATCAAAGTTAAGCAAGGCAGAAAGGATATTTTTGTTAACAATCAATATTATGACAAAGAGGTTAACCAGAAAGAGAGTGACGAAGTGCTGTACAGCCCAGCGGAGCAGCAATGTGATTTATAATCTGATTCCCTTCAGGGAAAGGGAACAAAATGATGAAGTGATCTTTGAAAATATTAAGACCTACGGTCTGGCTTCCTAGAATAATGGGATTGTTATTTATACTACGTATCGTGAATATCCTCTTTGACCCTTAAAAAACAGCTACTCAAAACATTAAAGATAAAGAATAAGAAACAGAAGTCATTAAGAGAGTACACCTGTAGGTAAGGGAAGGAAGGAAGGAAGGAGAATCTAAGGAATAAAAAGTTGGAAGTAGTTTGCTTTTTACAGCCTTTCTCCAGGACTGCTGAGCATTTGTCCCCTCACTTTCTGCTGCTAAACAAGAACTCCTCCCTACACCTGCAAGATCAGCACAGGGAAGAAAGGTGGGATCCAGACAAACAGGACCACCATAAAGCAAGTAAAAGAAGCAAAGGTTTACTAGACTGGAAATATATGAGCCTTAATTACAATATATATGTGTGCACATAATATATATAAGTACAGATGCACATGTGTAAATCAGTACATGCATATATAAAAATATGCTTGCATGCCTGCAAATCTACCCACACAGAGCACATCAAGATGATCAGTACTTGTTACAGTTGATGGAAAGACTATTGTAGTGAAAATACGAAAAGAAACAAACAAGGAAAGAAAGCTCACCTGTATCTGAAGATCTAGGTTCACAGGAAAGACTCCACAGAGGAGGAATCTCCAGAAGAGATCCTTCCTAGTGGCAGTCAGCCCTTAAATGGGGTCTAGGAGAGGTGCAGCCAGGCTCCACCCCTTCTGGTCACACAGCTGAATCACCTTCACCTGTGCTCCATGGCTGACTCAGTGCTTGCCGCAGGTGGTCAATCAGTGGGTCAGGCCGTGACTCAACAGTTTCAGTACAGTACTTAAGAAAAAATTCTTGTTAGAGAGTTTGTTACACAGCATAGTAAAGTTACATGGTCACAAAAAGAGGGTTCCTGGTTTTCTTTAAGACCATTTAAGATACGCAGTTTTCTCAAAAAGAGATTTCTGGTTTTGGCACTCTGATTCACTGTTCTGATATTGTGGCTGATGGCTTCATTAGCACAAATCAGCCATGTTTTCTCTTATTATGCTCTAAACCAGCTGTCTCCAGGCTGTGTTTAAGCTGATCAATAGACGATCATCTTTGTTTACAAACCTCTCAACTGATTTCACCTAGTGTTCACTCTAGTGGAAGAACACATGCACGCCTTTCTCCACTATTGTTTTTAAATGCCTGTTTACTTAAAGGTAGTTTCAAGATGATTTGCTAAGATTCATTCAATTCCCTCTAGACTACTACAGCTCTGGCAAGCCGAGCTCCTGCATAACCCTCTCTGCTTTTCCATTGTGGAAAATGGTGCACAGTTCAGCAGAGGCAAACCCTTCAGCATGCTTTTGTTTCAGTTGAAAAGAATGGTTTTGGTTACTATGTCAATGAGGGAATCAGAGAGCCCCTTGTTGCACCAGGCCATAGCCATACACTGAGGAGGAAGCTAGGAGCTGTCTGCATGCTTCCCACGCACTACGTGCAATACAGTGTACCTGAGGCATGGCTGCGGGAGGTCTGTGGGCTGCTTCACCTCAGTGCAGCACATTCATCTCTCCTCCACTTACACCAGATTAGCTTAAATAGCATTAGCTGTGGGAAGTGGCCTGCCCCAGTTCTATCAAAGGAAGTAGAGAACATTCTGTGCAAGGGTAGGGTTGCTTTCCTGGGCTACCAGTGTGCACCTGGATTTCAGCAGATTTAAATAGCAGTTTATGGATGGATGAATCACGCTGATTCAGGTTTCATCCAGATGTTCATGATTGGGAATAAGTGTACTTTCATCCAGATGTTCATGATTGGGAATAAGTGTACTTTAAACAAAAAGAACCCTGTCAATATTGCAACTGCAGCAGGTGACCACACTGGTTTTCAACAGCACCTGGAGGCTTCTATTTCCTAACCTAGAGCGTAGCTTTAACTGAGTGAAGGTGAGATGTAATTCTGATGCTGCACTGTGATTCACATACACTTTAGTAAAATAACCTATTTGCCTTTTAGATTGCAACTCCTGGTTTTGTTTCTTTCCATTCATTTTTTCTTCTGTTTTTCTATTTTTCCCTTCCTTTGGTGCATTCTCTCCTCAGTGTTTCACTGCAGGGTGCTGTGCCAGTTATCCAATAAAATTCCGGCAGTAATTCAATCACACTCACTATGCACATCATCTTAAAAAAAAAAAATATATATATATATATATATACAAATTGTGATTGAAAAATCAGAAATTTGGTTATGCCAACAGCAAATATCAGATTCTTGTCTTTGGAAGGGAGTGGGAAAGGACACAAAGGCTATTTGGGAAAGTGCAATTGTTCAAATATATTTATAGAAGACAGATCTTTCCCCCCACCACCCACCTTTTGGAAAACAAAGCATCTCGAGCTCAGCTTGTCAGTACCACAGTCACTGCTGACAGTGCAGATTACCGCTGTGGAACCTGAGGCTGTTTTAAGGAGTTCTGCTCAAAAGCCCAAAATAGCTGGCAGCTGGCGTCACCCGCTGCAGGGGGCTGAGCAGCAGCAGCAGTGAATGGAGGCAGCCCAAGGCTCACAGGTGGGGCTGTGCTGCAATGGACACCAGTGTGTTTGCTCTACAGACAGCGGTGCACTCAAATATTTAACCACAGACAGACTGCAATTTGTATTTTCAGCTTATTTCAAGGAAAACAGCTTAAACGGACCTGAAGGAGACTTCAGAATGGTGCAGCTATTGGCTGTGACAGTTTCCTGACAGCACAGAGGTTTCCTCCTGGCATTAGCTGGCTGCGGGTAGCCCTGAGCAAAGGACTACCTTGAGATAGCCCTGCTTGGGACCACTGGGGCCAGAGCCTGGCACATCCAGCACAGTACGTGGCCCTGGGCTATGGGCAAATGGTTTTGTGATCAGTGGAAGTGCTTGTGGTGCTCACGTGGGGTGGCTGTTGGTGGAGGGAAAAGGCTCCCGGCTTTGCTTCAGCACAGCTCCAGCATGGGGACTGAACGCAGCTTCTCTTCAAAATGTAAAGCTGTTGAGAAAATGTCAGAAAATGACAGCTCGGTGACCACATTTTTCAGTCTTAACTGGCAAGTGAAAAGAAACATTAATTGTGTGTTTATGTCATCGCCTCCCACAGCTGACTGTTGCAGAATGCAGCTTAAGGTGGCATTAAAATGTAAGGTGGGTGTTATAATTTGCCTGAAGTACTTTAGCAGTTTTTAGTTTTTGTTCCAAAAGCAATCTGAAAATTCTATCTGCCATTCTACCCATGTCCCTGTAAATCACCTACATACTCTGCTATGGAGCTTAGTGCATGATCATAGAAACATAGGGTTGAAAAGGCCCGTAAAGATCATCTGGTTTCAACTCCCTTGCTATGTGCAGGGTTGCCAACCACTGGGCATCTATTACAGCCACGTCGAGTGGTGCTAAATTTGCTTTTGGCTTTCTGCTAGGCTGCATTTCACCATTTCACTGATTGTGTGGAAGCGATATCCTCTTTGACAGTTCCACAGCAAGTGAGCCACAGGTCTGTGGTGTTTCTTTAAATAATTCCCACCCCAGGAAATGCTGTGTCACTTCTATGTTTCACCCTGCCTCTTTGAAATCCCAACTCCTTCATCCCCTGGGGGGCTCAGGTCAGTGAGGGGTGACCGAGTGCTGCCCATCACTAGTAAAATTTTAAAGGGAGAAAGCACAAATATGTAAGTGAAATTTCAGTCTGTCATTCCTGAAACTGGAAGAGCTAAGAGGCTCTTTTCAAGAATACCTAAACCCATTCCATCAGGGGAGGTATTTTGAGAAGGGTCTCTCACACTGTTGAAGCCTTTAGGCTTGCACAAGAGATCTCCACAGCAATGCAGCTCCATGCCCATTAGGGTCCAGAAGAATGCTGAGTATTTGAAGGCATGTAAAATGATCATGAAGTGGCTTTTACATGCCAGTACAGACCTTTATTTGGAGGCATCACTTCATCACAAATGTGTTTCCAATGCCATTTATGTTACAGCACAGTGAGAGGTCAGCTTTATACTTTTTACTCCTCTCCTGAGCTATATTTTTTCAAGTCAGCAGTTATTAGAGCAGAGATGGGAGGAAAGCAGGGTCTTTTACACTGAGCCTGCACAGGATTAAAGAAACTGCTTATCTAGACAGAGAGAATTGCCACAAGACTCACAAATGGTCTACTGAATTTCTTACTGTGGCTCTGTTAGTGGGCTACACTAAATAGACTCAGAGGAATAAACTCCCTGAGATGTACCAATATGTTTTTACATCCTCTTGCCGATTGACTGAATGATCCCACTGGGGTGTATTCTTTACTTTACTGTTCAACATAGAGGAAGAAAAAGAGAAAAAATCCCATTGCTTTATATATCATCTTAGCATGGAAACTAGCTGCATGAGACCCAAGAAGAAAGAACTGCTCTTTACAGATAGGTCACTTCCCACCATAGTGAAAAGGGGCCAACAAAGGTCCCTAATTTCTGCTTGATGTAGCACAGAAAACACCACTCACCCAAGATCCAAGATAAAAGCCTCCACAACCCCCTTAAAAATCTTGTTAATTCATTCATTTCTGATACTTCCAAATGACAAGGTTTCTATCCAATTTAGGTTTGACTCATGTTATCTAATTAGATCAATTAAGGCAAATTATCATCACACTGCAAGTTTGACAGGGTTGTAGTCAAATCTCTGAGCAGAGCTATTGGATGTGAAGTAAGGTACTTAAAATTTAAAGACTATGGCTGTAGTATACAAACCTTTGTGACTGGCAGAATCACACACTCAACCCTTCCAATTGAGGTTGAGCAGAAGAGACGTTGGTCCAGGTAAGTGCAATGCCTACCAGCCTGCTTTGGAAATAGCCACTCAGCTGGTAAAGAAAGGAGAAACGTCCATTGCAGGTACCTTAACTAACTGTTAACACAGAAGTTTACCTGTGTATCCTCAGGTGCACTTCAAAAGGAAGGACTTGCACTTCTGCACGTGTGGCTGTTCTGCACAGCTGACGTATCTGTGTGACCTGGTATATCAACGGTCAACATCCCTTGGAAAAGCTTTGAAGATTTGGATTGGTTCCCTGATTGAATGATGTAAGGGTGGAATACAGACCGTGGAGAGAAGGAGGTGAGACAGAGAGAATAAGCAATGACTGAGTGCCTGGAGTTTCCCTCTGAACACCAGAGGAAAATGTGGAGCACCTGGTCAGGCAAACCATACTTCAGAAGATTTAAAAATAGTGTCTCATTATCTCAGCCTATTTCCTTGACAGAACATAAAGCTGAACATCTTTTTGTTGCTGGTGAATTTCTTTCTCTCTCTCTCTCTTTTTTTTTTTTTTTTTTTTTTAAATAAAGAAGCTGATAAATCAGGAGGATTAAAGGGAATGGAAAACGATGTCTTCCCAGTTAAACGTAACTCATTATTAATAACCAGGTCTGACTCACAGCACAGGAAATATATTTCTGTGCACGCATGCTATTGTGACCCTGCTGAAGCACAAACACTCTGACATGCGCTGAGCTGCAGCGAGGCCAGGTACCACTGCTCGTGTGTGAAGAAATGTAAAATGTAGTTCTGGCTAAGACAGATAAGGCAGTCAATTTGAGATGAGTTTTTAGCAGTTCTAAAGCAATTCATCTTTTAAAAGCAGATTTACACTAAGGCCATGATGCACTAATGCAAAGCTTCACATCCCAAGTCAGTCATTTTCTGACATTCCTGACTGCTGATTTGCAGCAAAGAACCAAAGTAGAAGCTAAAATGTTTCAAATACAGATGCATTAAAATGTTTTTGATTGACCTCATTATTTAATTTGGACCTCTTCCTGCTTAGAAAGAGCTGATCGTATCAAGATGTGCCCAAGCCTTTGGACTATTAACTGGACTATTGTTTTGTGCTATTGCTGATGGAATAGGTTTTATTATAGGCTGCTTTTCCAGCTGGTTTCACTGGAAACAATACTGCAACAACAATAGTTGTCTTCTACATCGTAGAGTGAATGAATGGATAAATTCTAGAAAATCATCCTTGTCAATAATGAACAGTTTGCATCATAAATGTAAAATAACATTGAATGGCAATCCTTTTCTTCCCTGTAAGGGAAACCAAATCAAGCATAGGAACAAAAAAAAGGTATTCTTTAAAGGCAGAGAAGCTCAAAAATGGGACCCGGAACATTTTTGAAAGAGAAATACAAAAGATCCCTTAAAAAGTCACTCACCTACTTAACACAGAATTTCCTGTACCTTCATTCTGGCTTGCAAAGAGCCGTTCATGAGGGAAAAACATTGCTTGGATTAAGAAGAACTCAGCAAACCTACATACAAACTCAAATCAAGATAACATCAGGCTACGTGTTTGTTAGCAGACTGTTAATTGATGTAATCAGCGACTCTAAAAGTAGAACCACTATATCTTCCACGATATTTAATTCTTAGCTTGAGTTTCCTCATTCTTTCTTTGCATTTGGATGAATTATCTCTCCAGAGTAGGACTTTTTTTTCACTATAGTTCTACCAATAAGCCCCATTTCTGGAGTCCCTGTTTTTGCCATAATACAGATAAATAAATGACCAATAACACTACTGACAGACAATAAAATACCCTGTTCTGCCTTAGTTGGACAATTTCCGCTCAGGTGCAATTGCTCACATAGGTTACAAATCCACCACAGTGAAGCAGGAGGCTTCTTTAGTTTGCACTGCTGTGTGTGTCAAATTACTCTGATCATTCATTAATGGGAAACCACTATCAAATGTTGAAGTTAAACAGCCAGACCTGACAGAATTCCAAATTCTGTGATAACTCAGGAATTGTGAATCATGGGCTGGAGGGCAGGCACTGGCTTATAACCCCGGGGCTCTCCGAGAAGTATCCCAGGCTGATAAGCTGGCCCCAAGTCATAGATTATGCAGTTGGTTTTTATATTTTACTGAAATCCACATGGAAACCCGTTTTCCTTTGTCACTGTCCACCCGTTTAGTTCACACATATCTGTTTGGTTCCCAGCTATTGTACAGCTAGCATAAATTTCATTTGATTTTGCGATCCATCTGTTTTAGCAGCACAGATTGACACAAACCACTCATTTTTTGCTAAATCATGTTTCCTGTAAGGGGTAAATTTTTACACTCATGACTGCTGTTTTTCAGAGCTGTATATATATATTTTCAGAGCTGTATAAACAGGGGCAATCCCATGTAAATTCACCTGCTCTTATTCCTGGACTAATACCGTGCAGCTCTGAAGGCACATTTAGATTCTATGACCAAAAGAAATAAGCTGCAAAATTAAGTTTTGGAAAATATTCATTGAAATACCGTGCTGAATATCACCGGAACAGTATCAGTGTTCAGCTACTAAGTTCAACTGCTGCAAGTTTGTAAAATAGTTCAGATGAGCAGGGTGGGAACAAGCATATTGTCACCTTTCTCTCTCAGAAAAGAATATTATGAGCCTTGAAGTTAACCAAAATGCTTCTGATTTCACATATTAATGAAAGAAAAGATGTTCTAGGAAATACTTCCAAATGATCTTTTCCTTGACTCTTGAAAAGCCTTTCCAAAAGTAATTCGTTTTTAGTAGGGAGTTTCTGGTTGTGTGTTTTTAACTTAGTGTTGTTATATTCTTGTTAAGGGAACGGGTTGTAAAGCACCTGTTCAGAATGGAGCATGGAGCACCCACTTCCTGTAACAGTTTGTTCTGGAAATGTAAACAAGGTGTGTTCCCAAGATGGGCATTACAAAGCCACAGCTGCTCATCTGTGGCATTCTGTTGTTCCTCCATTTTTCTCCATTTTCTGACCTAGGCTTTCCACAACCTGTCTAAGAAAACATCAAAAGACAGATGCTATCACAATAAATTCTGTCCTTTTTTAGAATTTTGCTTCCAAATGTTTGTCCAAGGTCTAATTTGAGGTCAAGATACCCATCAGGGTCACTCCTACCTCAGCTGCCAAAGCAGTGCTTCCTCTTTGCACTTCCCCCAGCCTTACACCACCAGCACCACTGGGATTCCCCATGGTGGTGCAGCCTGTGGCGGTGTTGTCTTTTGCTCCCTAAACCCTGCTTGGGATAGTCTGGGAGAAGGGACAATCCCTGCCCCCCCTGCCTACCCCCAGAATGGGGTTTCCACCTCCTGGATGACAAGTGAGAAGTTCGGCTTGACAGGTGGCACAGAAGACTCTCAGAGCTGAAAGCATTATGATGAACTAGCAATAGGACAAGAAGTAGTGGCCATCAATTGTGCCAAAGGAAATTCAAGTTGGATATTAAGAAAAAATTATTCTCAGAATGAGTGGTGATACGTTGAAACAGGCTGCCTGGGGAGGTGGTGGAGTCACCGTCCTTGGAGTTGTTTGAGAACTACATAGATGTGACACTGAGGGACATGGTGTAGAGCTGTAACAGGCATGGGTTGATGGTTGGACTATTTGATCTTAGTGGTCTTTCCAACCTTAATGATTCTCTGATTCTAGGGATGGAAAGAGAAAGAATTTCCTCTCCTAGAGAAGATGCATGGTTTAATGGGATCATCTAGATCTCCGAATGTCTTAAAATAAAATTGGGCATAAGTCAGGGATGTGTATTACAGAGATTGCCAAAGGCAAAGGTGGACTGCCTTTTAAATGTTTTACACCTATCTATGTGCATTACTCATGATTTCAAATCCTCAACAAATAAACAAAAGGTGAGCCATCACCTTTGATGGTTCTCCCTTTTGCTTTTTTCCTCCTGGCACTTCCTAAGAGTTTGAGATAAATTTCAGCCTTTGTTTTAGAAACATGGCTCTTTTTTCACATGATTAAAGGGAAACGAAGATGAAAAGGTTAACCATGAAGCCAAAACACAGAAACCAAGAAACCAAGCCAAACAAATCCAGCATTTATCTTCGTTTCACAAATCATTTTTCTAAGCCTACTCTGCAATTTGGGGAGCTGATCCAGTATTTTCAGTCAATAAAAATGGCTCTGCTTGTCAAAAGTTGTATTTGAAGTACATGGAGAAAGTAAGTCCAAAGCCTTCTCTGTGAGGTCTGCCAGGACAGGAAAGTTTTAGAGAAAAAATTGTAGTATTGTGTGGATAGATGCATGACTGCTGTGCCTTGCTTCTGTCTTTTACAGTTCATTAATAATAAGCCTGCCTTTTTTTTCTTTTTTTTTTTTTTCTTTTTTTGAGTTTTCTAGCTTTTCTATGCAGATGGGTGTTCTTTAAGTTCAAGAAAAATCCAGGTAACTGAGTGGAACTGCTCAGAATACCCAATTAGCATGCACTAAATCTCATCTCACTCTCTCCTTCTCCACTAAGGCATGTTTGCAACGGTAGTGCTAAGCAACATGAGTTTGTTGTATCATCTACAGATTTTATCATTAGCACAGTCATTAATATAAATGTATAGTCACTAGGAATTACCAGGAATTAGAGATAATACGTAGCAGATACTTCACTAAAATTCAATTTTCTTTTTAACAATTATTCAAACCAGCACTGTATGGTGGAATCTCACTCAGTAGGCCCTGGCCTGCAGCTGATAGACTCCTGTAGTTCCAATAAGTACCAGTAAGATTCCAACGGCCACTTTGGAGTCCCTCTGAACACTGTCACTGCATTCGTAGCTTCGTACTGCCCCTAGATATTTTATCACTGAATCATAGAATCATCTACGTTGGAAAAGACTTTCAGGATTAAGTCCAACCTTCAACCTGATCTGCTGAGTCCCATCACTAAACCATGCCCCTTAGTGCTTGGGACTGTTCTTCCCCCTTACAATTTAACTGTGAAACCCATCAGCAAGCTTGTAAATGAGAGCATTGAGGCTGAAAGCAAAATTTATCTATTTAAGTGCCAAGTAGATGTTTAATAAAAATGAAAAATATTTTATGCTGTACTGAAGAAAGCATTCTCAAAATAGGGGGCAAAATCATGGAATGTGGTAACACTTAGTGAATGCAGCATTTCTAGGCATCTGGAACTGATTTGCACTGATGCATCTTTCCTGGAGGTAACAGCCACATGAAAACTTTTATACAGCAGGAATGAGATGTAAATGTACTAAATCTTCATGCTGACTCCTTTCCAATTTGGAACTTTTTATGTGCTTTATTATACAATGTCCAGTCCAGGTGTCTGAAGATAAGAATTTGTTCCTGAAGCAGGAATGAAGAACCAACATTTGTGTCACATTGCATACAACCACACTGCAAGATGAGTTTGTGTGAATTAAAATCATGTGCTGCCATCACATCATGTTACTTGAATAAAAACAGTGAGGGTTTCCTAAAAAGTCCTTGTGTCTAAGTAACTCCTCACTGGATTAATGATGAAATTCATCAAAATGAAAACCTAAACACAGCTCCCCTTGTCCCTGCTCCAGGAACTTTCTCGTGGAAACAAAAATGTGAAAGACTCCACATGAGAGTGGTGCTCAGAGTGCAGGTAGCCAAAGGCACGTGATTTACAAGAGTATTCCTTTGATGGAGCAGCGTGCCGATCAACTCAGGCAGTATGGCTGTAGAATTGCCCTGATTTATGAGTTACTTTAAATCTTGCTTTCTGCTGCTCTGCATATTGCCAAAACAAAGATACTGCATCTGTTTCCTGTAAAATTCCTAATTCAAGCTTACACCCAAGCTTCAAACCAGTTTTGAGAAGTGAGAAGAATTAAGCCAGCACTTCATTGCTTATATTAAAACGAGTAGCATTTTTGAAATAATATTTTTGTCAGTGTCAATACTAAGTTTTCAGTATGGTGACAATGAAAAATTGCTCAGGATATTATTTTCCTAAATTATTTGGCACATAATAAATTATTTTAAACAATTTGGGGTAAATCAAGCAGTTAAGTGCAGTCTGATGCCACCATAAATGGTGTCTTTGCACACTAATTACTGTAACAACCGTGATGCTATTGTTGTCCATACCACTTTAGACTGTAGGGAGGTTATAATTCAGTTTCAATAGTTCAAAACAATTCTTTGCTATACCAATGACAACATTGCTTGTTTTCATTTAGTATGTTGTATTTTGGAATGCACAAATAATTTATTTAAATAAAAGTATATACAAATATGATGAAGGAAAAACTCTACAGAGTTCGGTACAATGGCTGCATGCACTGGGAATGATGCTATGATTTGCTTCAGAGGAGTGAAGTATGAATTGAAAACTAGGAAAAATTTGGATGGTGTGCTGCAAATCCCATCACCACATCGAAGGGTCTTCAAACCTGAAACATATTATGAATAGAAACCTATTAAACACATTTTAAAGTCCTTTCTGGGAAATTCAGAGTTACAACTACTCAAAAATTTTCATTTTAATAATACCACCAATAAGGAATACATATCCACATTTGCAGCACAAGACTCCCATCAAAACAGATGAACCTTGGATGATCAAAAGTCTTGTATACTATATTGAAATATTTTAAGAGAGCTTTTTAGCTTTTAATCAGGAGTAAACAGTTTCCAAAGAGAATGGTGCCAAAGCCACATCATGCTATCAGCATCTTCAAACAAAACTGAAGTAACCATCCAATATGTTATCACTGTATTCCACTCCTTAGTATCAAACATTTGAAATACATGTTGAAAGCAGTTCTGAGAGCAGGATTTGATCTAGTCATTCTCTGCTTATCCTGGCTACACAGAAAGATATTCAACAAGTTACCACTGAACATGGAGAGAGATACACGGAAATAGATTTGCCATCGTTTCTGCCATCTAAATATTGGGTGGCTAGTCTTACCTAACCATCTAATCTGCTCTACAGTCACTGGAGAGACACCAACACCCTGAGAGGGTAGTTAAGCCTGCACATTTGAGGATGGAGTGGCTCATATGAGAGAGATCCACCTCTCCTGTTGACTACACAAGGAACTCAACAGCTCCTTCACATGAAATACTTGAGTTTCACAGAAGCAGAATGCATACTGTTACTGAGTCGTAACTCCACAGGATCCACTAGATCAGAAAAACAACATCTCACTTTTTTGTTATAAGAACTTAGATTTACTCAGGTCAAAGCACCTCCTTTTTTCAATTCTTCTGTAACTTCCTAACTTTTACTTGATTTCTGTAAGAAAATCTTTAAACATTTTTTGGATGCTCTGACATACGATATTTTAGTCAGCGAAAGTGAAGTGCTGAATTCAGCCAGACATGCTGAACACAGTTAAGCTGTTTCTTAATACCTCAGTGTTCAGCTTCATCTAAGATATAGGATGTTTTAGAATATCATTAAAGTTTAGAATAATACCAGCCTGCCTTTAATTCATTTCGCTTAGTTTTCTCTAGGAGGAATGCTTATACAGACACACTGTACATCAAACATGTGGCCAACCTGTGGGGCTCCCCTACTTTCACTATGAGTTCTCAAACCGCCTGGAAAATTTCCACTAAGTCAGAGAAAGGTACTGATGTCTTGGAGAGAGTCAGCTCCTGATGTGTCATCAAACTCAGGGCTGGATAGAAAGAAGACATGATTATATCTTCACATGGGGGTAGAAGCTGGAATGGGGTGAAGAATCCATACTGTGTTTTATCCTAGAAAACATATCCATAGGAAACTAAACATCATTGTTCCCAGTACTCACATAATTGTCATCAACGAATGACAAACATGTTTTTTTTTCTCAGTTTAAAGTGCTGTTACAGGGGGGTATGAGATAAAAATCTGTTTCTCATCAATTCCTGATCTTAAATGCAGACTTGTTTGTTATTTCGCTCATGAGTTTTAGCTCCCTGGCGTGTTATAAGTAGCATTATTGAAACAATAACAACCATAAAATTTTGTTGTAAAGGGGGGAAGATTACAGAGAGTATTAGACTTTGTACTACCCTCTGTGTTGCCTCAAATTCATGGCAGCGGAAATTTCCCATTACGTGAGGATTCTGCCTCCTCATTACAAAACACAAAATAGTCTCAAGCATTTCAATGTACTCCATGCAGTTTTTTACATAAGCATATGCAGATAGAACCATTTCCCAACAGCTGTGGTTAGTCATCAAGCCTTAAGTCAACATTCTTCCTACACATGGATCCGCAAAGCTGATGGACACTGCTGACAGCAAAGTTTTGGTCACCTCTTGGTGACATCATCATCCCCAAAGTCCAGTGCTACAAACTATTACAGTTAATTATTTCACTAGTTTAATTGAGCTTTTGCACAATGGATGGAAGTGCAGAGCTTGGAGACTCCTAAGATGGGTGCTGCACAAAACATTTATTCCTGCAGCAGTGTTAGCAGCAAGCTTCATACTTTCAGCAAAGTCCTAAACTGAGCTTATTCGTGACTTTTTGTGACTGAATGTTTTCTTTTACAAGAAAATAAAAATAAAACCCCCTGTATTTACTTTTTCAGCATAGGCAGAGTAAGGGAAAATTTTCACAGCTGCATAAATTGTGGTCACCACTACAGTATCTTACATTGCAATTTCAGTGTCATTACTTAATTATACATTATACATTTGAAATTCAGTGCTGTTCAAAACACCACTGTTCTTCCAAACCAAGTGCAAGAGGAAATACAAAGGCCTTTTTTCCCCCACTTTATGAAACATTAGGTACAAAACAAGTGTGAAATACTGTATTTTAAAGAACACTCATAGCTATGCATTTGTAAATAAACATATCTGCACATTTATCACTCGTCACACTTCTTTAGAGGGGAAAAATGGCAACTTGTGGAGTAGGAAATAAATAAAAATATGCCATCTTTGGGGATCCAATGTGTAAGTGAATCATCATCGGCCATCAGTGCACGATTCTGTGCAATACAGTCCAGTAAAGGGCAAGACTTACAGAATGCTTCCCCTCCTTCAGCCAGCAGGTTCTGCCTGCTCTGAAAATCAGGAAACAAGGAGCTTGGACTATATTGTACCTGGGAAAGCATTTCTTGCATTGATAGGATGATTCTGGTTCTTAACAAAGAAGTTGAAAATGTGTGTAAGGATATGTTTATCCAGCAGTTGGTGGCATGTATTTTCTCCCTGTGGAACATGGTTAATGATAACAAATAGGACTGTTAAATCTAAGTTAGAAATGAAAGCCTCTATAAAACTTCCTCAAACATACCGGGATCTAGGAATGTTTTCTGTGCTTTCCCTCAACAAGAGGTCTGAGATCAGTGTCTCTGGGCTCGATCTCTTTCCGTACCTAAGAAAAAAGAAAAAAAGTATATTTTTATTTATCTTGATATTTAATAATGAAGATTAAGCAGAGAACTATTAGGCAGAAAAAAAACCCTAAATACAGCTGATATAAAAACAACTTTGCAGCAAGTATTTTAATTAAATTGATCTACTCATGTTAGAAAATGTTCTTCAGTATTTCTTTTAATATATATTTTTGACAATTGTTACCTGATAATATTGAGCAATTCTATGTTTCTCAATTTGATGGATGTTCCTGAATATTTGAGGACCTTGATCCTTACTGATCTGAGCATGAAAGAGGAAGCAGTGCATGGCAAGACCTCTGAGCATGTCATTCTTGCCCACAAACCCAGTTCCAACATCTCATTAATTTTCTCATTCTTTTACATACTGTTGTATCCTTCATTAGAAATCACATGAATGTAGAGTCAAATTTATCTATTATATGAACAGCACACAAAATTCATGCGTGCCATTGTGTCTGAAGAACTGGCCGAGATTTTTAAAAGCTAGCTAGCACATTTGGAGGTACCCACTACGTACCAGACTCGGTCATAAAAACTAAGCTGCCCCAAGGCAATAACCACTCCTGAACTGCGTGGCTACGGAAGAGAGAACAGCCATCAGAATCAGAGTTCTTTGGTTGAATATCGTCTGCTACTTCTGTCTTATACTTACACAATGGTTGTCTGTTTGTTGTTTCTTTTTTTAAAATCAGGGATATTTTACCAACAGTTTGTTCAACAGTTCAATTACAGCAATTCCTCATTCTAGGAAAGAATTTACTCTCTTTTTCTCAGAAAACAGAAGCAACACCAAACAGCCAGCTTGAGAGACACTTACCATAAGAACTCATTAGATTACCAGTGATAACTGTAACCAAACACTCCCTTGGTTGGAAGGAATTAAGATCGTGGTTTGTAACTTGTGTATGTAATTAGTCTGAATCACAAAGTATGTTAACAGATAATAGCTTTGTGAACATCACTTGAGTGAAATTCTAGCTCCAGAGAAGTCAAAGGTGCCATCAAAGACTTACATTTTATCCCTTGCTGTCAAGATACTTCTCCAATGGCTTAATTAATTTTGGGGAGGAGGGCAAGTTTTATCAATTGATGTCTGATTTTCCTGAAAACTGGACACATTTCTCACTTTATCATTTTATTTCTCTTTGTATTACTGCCTCACCTTAATCATTTTAGACCATCATATTTGGTCCAGAAAGACAAAGTATCAAATTCAGATTTTTAAAACAAATTTCTCAACCTATACTGACTGAAAGGTTAAATGCTATTACAGTAATGCAATCAAGCGTGGTGCTGAATAAAAAGCCATGCACTCTATCACCATAAAGGGATTTCTTTCCTGTTCCCTACTCCAATTAATAAGGATATGACCATGGCTTCAACTGAGGGGTAATCTAATTTGCCATTGTTTTTTAAGAAATTTATTTAACAAATCCAACAGCTTGCTCCAGCAGCTCACGTTTGGGCAAAAAGTCTCACTAACCTCTTGTAAAGTTTTCTCTGAGCAATAGGTAGCAACCTTCAGTAATCAGAGATTTGCTCAAACAGTGAAGAAGACTCTTGGAGACACACACATTATATGAGTCCCTCCAGCATGGCAAGACCAGTGCTGCTACCTATACAGGACAGCCCCACCTTGTCCTGAAACAGCAAAGCTGCACAGCAGGTGTTCCTTGGATGCACCAACTGGTGTGACCAAGGAGCAGCTGTTCTTCCTACTTCAGGTGCCAAAGCTTCCAGTCTACCCCATAATTTTGCTGCTGGGAAACAACCATGGTACAGCCGTAATGCAAAGAGGTCATGAGCAGTTGTGAAAGCAAGGCCTCAGTGCAGACGTTCTCTCTTCTTTCAGCTGCTTCGTGCTTGCTCTGTGTCTTTGATGCACAGCTCTGAGACAACACAAACACAGACATCCAGGCCTTTTTTTGGTGTTTGGAAAACATGAAAGGAAGAGGGCCTGTTGGTTACAGTGTGCGCATGTAGCACCAAGCAGCAGGAGAAAAGATTCAAAGAAAGCAGGGCTCTGAAGAAAGCTCTCAAACAGTGCAGCACAGGGGCACGATGCAAGGACATGGGACATTTTGGAGGACAGAAGTGGGATTAATGCAAAGACACGTGGACGTCTGCAGTGCAGGAGTCTGCAGCTGTGCTGGTCATCTTAGGTTCTCTTCATCATCAGTGAAGATCTGGAACCTTGTAAACAATGGATTTCATCTGAAATGAGGAGTCTGAAGCAGGCCAGGAGTGCAACAGGTATCTATTTCCCTCAGATCACCTCACAGGAGTACAAAGCTATGTATGCTATGACTAAAGACAAATGAGATGGGATGTGAAGGAGAGGAACCCTAAAGGAGAGAGGGAGCAAAGCAGCCATGCAGACAAGGGCAAAAGTCAAGAAGAGAAGGAGGGATTGGAAGAAGCTTCACAGAAGCAGGGGTGAAGATCCCGTGGATCTTGGTCACTCACAGAGAATGACACTCAAATGCCAGAAGCAGAAGGCTAAGCCAGAAGGTTGTCCATGACACATAAACGTCAAACAAGAGTAGACAGATAAACTGAAGAGACAAAAAAAGCACTGATCACAATCCTTGCTGCCCATCCCGCGGCAAGCAGGCTGTGGACCTGGCCCAGCCCCAGCGGCCTGCTCACATGGGGTGAGCCTGGGCGCTGCCACCTCCCCACAGCAGGGCTGGCTGAACAAGCACCCAGGGCAGAGCCAAACACTGCAGTAAGAGACAGCTCTAAGCACCTCTGCTGTAACAGACCAAGTGATGCACATGTTTACATCAGAATGCTTCTAAAGACATTTATTTATAAGCAGTTCATTTTGCAAGTGACTGTCACTGCTGAAGCAGGAGCTCTGTCACCTTATTTCTCTGCTGCTAATTCACCACAGAACAGAAAGAGCACAGTTCTGGCTGTCGGATTGTTTGTTTCCAAGCTTTCTAGATAGCTTTAAAATCAAGTTGTTGTTGTGACTTTATCTGTCGGTTTTCTTTTAAATCCAGGTCAATCCTGGATTGATGGAACCTGAATGAGAAAACTGAAATTCTGAATTGTTTTGTCTATCACCAGCAGTAACTATTCTGTTCACTTCAGAGCCTAAATACAAGTGAAAGCAGTCTCAGTCTTTGAGCTGTGTACTTGCAGCCAAGTCATAAGCAAAGAAAGCCAGGCAAAGTTAAAGAAGCACTTGATCTAGTGGTTGGCAGCCCTGCTCATGGCAGGAGGTTGGAGCTAAATCTTTTACGTCCCCTCTGCCCTAAGTCATAGTATGATTCTACGCTTCTACATTTCTATACTGGAGGATGAATATAAAAGGACGGGGTTGTTCAGCCTTGTACCTTTTAAATCAGAAACAGAATCAAAAAAAGGTGGAGACATGAAACCAGCCTAGAGATCCCAGTGCATGCAAGAGAAAGGGGCAGCAGCAGGAACAGATTATTTTAGCAGTCATCTGACAAAAAGTTACAAGAGCACAGAGCAGCGCACAGAAACACACTGCACACACAAACAGCTGTGAATATTGCTTTAAAAGTCCAGGACTGAAGAACCATAATGTTATCAGCCTCCTCATCTCTGTTCTGGTATTAGCGCACAGACAGACAATGTCATGGGTTTGCTGGGAAAGCTCTCAGCTACACCATAACCTCCCCTCTGATTTAACTCTTCAGACTTCTACAGGGACAAATGCAAGCCTTATTATAGATCTCTCATCTGGTTTTGATAATAAACAAATATCAAAGGTCTTGTGTCACGCACAGTTTAGGGACCTCAGGGAATGCTTCTATTAATCAGTCTGAATTGGACAGATGTTCCAAAGAACATAATTTTATAGCACAATGTTAACTTTTCTCAGCCTGAGCCTTCAGCACCCCTTTAAGCAGCACAGTGACCGTCAGAACACCAGCATGGGGCAAGGCAGCTTTAGGTCACACTCTTCTCTTTCAGCTTGGGCTCAAGTTCTCATTTATAGTCTTGAGAGAGTTTTTGTCAGACCACTGGGGTTTGGGGCATTCACTGCTCTATTAAGTAGCTGACAAAGTGCTTCAACTCCTACAACTTCTCAGCGCAGAGCACTTTTTCCCAGTGAAACCTTCACTAGTCAGTGGCAGCGACAGAAGAGTGAAACAGCTCCTACTGCCCTGCCTCATCCTCCCCAGGGTTAGTTACATTTTCTCTCGATTTTGAGGGGGACTCTCCCCATGCCCACTGCCCCGTGACCACACTCCTGCCCACCAGCCCGTGTGTGCCAGGTGCCAGAAAGGGCTGAAGGAGAGGATGCAGCGTCGAGGCAGGTGGAAATCCACCTCCGCACCCAAGGAGCGCGGGCACCACATCCTAAACCCCGCCGGGTTTTCCTGAAGGAACTCAGGTGAGACCTCCAGCCGCGAGGGGCATCTCACTCCCCTCCCTCCCGCCACGCCCCAGGAGAAGGGCAGCACAGCGAGCGGGGAGGGGGACGCTGCCGGGCCCGCCGCCTACCTCTGCCTGGTGATGAGGTTGATGTAGTGCCTCAGAGCCGAGTAGTATCTGGCCATGTCCTCTGCGGGAGCGTCCTCGCCGGGGCTGTCCGGTTTGGAGGGGTACGCTTCTGCCAGCGTCCCCAGGCAGACCAGCAGCGACAGGGCGAAAGTCAGCACCGACACCCACAGCCTCACGGTGCCCTGCATCTGGACGGCGAGCGGGGGAGAGCGGCCGTCAGCGCCCGCCTCGACGGCAGAGCAGCGCGGCCGACCCCCGGCGCGCAGCCCCGCGACCCCCGTGCCCGCGCCCACCCCGTCGCGGTACTCACGGCGGCGGTTGCAGCGAAGCGGCTCTGGGCGAGGCTTGGCTCTTCTTGCCCGTGGGTCGGGGCTCCCGAGTGTGGGACTCCGAGCCTCGCCGGGGTGTTTTAAGGCTTCCCCGGCAGGCAGGAGGGGCCTTGGGCGATCACGCCTCGTCAGCCCCGGCCCCCCCTGCCAAACCTCCGCCTGCGCCCTGCCCCGGGAGGGGCACCGGGCGGGGCCGGGCGCCGCCGCCGTCCCCCGCATCACGAGAACCGGCAGGGGAGCAAATCCCGCTCCGGGGTACCCTCCGGCCCCGGGGGTCCCCGACGTGGCTGTCCGAGAGCGGCAGGGAAGGGGGAACCGGGGCGGGAGGAAGCGTACCCCGCCCCTGTGGCATCGGGGGGATCCCAGCCTGGATCTGCTTAGCGGGATGCTGCCCGACCCCGTGCCAAGGAAGCGTGGAAGAAGGTTTGCGGCATCCAGAAATGCCAAATCAGTGCCCCAGGCTCAGTCGTTGCCCCCACTAAATAAATACACCTCGAGGGTTACCTGCCCAGGGAACTGGCAGCAATGAAACTGTCACTGTGCACTCACTGCCGGGATGGCCCTGCATACCCATGGCTGCCTTTTGAGATACCATCCTAAATCTTACTGTGTTATGTTTCTGTGCCTGAACAACACACCACAGCAAACAGCCCACCAGTGTCATGAGATCCTGCTCTGACCCGCGGTGGTTGCCCCCTGCTGAACGGCACACGACAGCTTCTCACAGGACGAAGCTGACGGACCCATCTGTCCAAGGTGCCTGATTTTGGGGTCTCTTTAAACTTGCCCAGTCCTTGAGTCCTTAAAGAGAAATGGGCACCTTACAGCGAGCTAACCCCTCACACAATGGAGCTCTGAGACAAGGCAGAGTTCGAGAAACGTTTGGTCAGTGCTCTCAGAAATATGGTTTGAGTTTAAGGTGGTGCTGTGTGGAGCCAGGAGTTGGATTCAGCAATCCTAGTGAGTCCCTTCCAGCTGGGGGTACTCTATTGTTTTGTGATTCTAAGCAGGGTGGGCATCCTCAGCAACATGTCCTTCTGCACTGACAGCAGCAGAGTGCTGATGATGCATAGGGTGAAGCCAACTCACAAAGTTTCTGAATTCGTTGAGGAGTTTGGTGGAGTTAGCAACTACTCATACATATTAGTAAAATTGAATTAATTCTTTAGAAACAGGTAATTTGATTAGTGTCTTGATGACCAATGACTAATTCCAGTTAGAATGACAAATCATGACTCTAAACAGATCTTATTTTTGCTGTAATTTGAAGGTAAAATAACAACTGCACAAGTAAGAATATCAGACATACTGACAGAAAGCTTTAAGACATCTTCTAAAATTGTATTATGCATATACTACATCATAGGTATTCATTGCTATAGTTATTAATATATGTAGTTACTGCTTTAATGCTCACAGAACATATTTTGAAAAACAATAATCAGGCAAGAGTAAAGCTGGAAATCATTTCCACCACTCTACATTGCCCCCAAAACCCTTATCAAGTAAATGACTCCTGCAGCATGCAAGGAAACTCACTGGTCTGTGTCCATCTCAAGCCATGGAAGCAAAGAAAATTCCAAAGCTCTTAATGTCAAAATGTTTTGAACTCTTCGTGACTCAGTAGTGCTTTGGCCACAAGCATTACAGCAAGACTGCAGCTCTCTTTTATCAAATGCTGCCTGAAGAATTTTAATTCATGTGAGGAACTTTCCATGGCATAGCCTGAGACTCCAGCTTCTGAGTGCAGCACAGCCGAGGACAGGGTGACACCATGCCCCACCATGTGGCCTTGCTGCACCCCATGCACTCTGTTCCCCCAGCAGCAACACTGCTGCAGCACCACTGAAGAACACTGAAGGTGTTCATGTTGACTCAACACAAAATCACAGAATCATTAAGGCTGGAAAAGACTACTAAGGTCATCTAGTCCAACCACCAACCCATCCCCACCATGCCCACTGACCATGTCCCTCATTGCCACATCTGTACTGTTCTCAAACAACTCCAGGGACAGTGATTCCATCACCTCCCTGGGCAGCCACTGCATCACCACACTGTCACAGAAGAATATTTTCCAGATATCCAACATGAACCTCTTCTGGTACAAATTGAGGCCATTACACCTCATCCTATCACTTAAATACCTGGAATAAGAGGCCAACCCCCACCTTGCCACAACCTCCTTTCAGGCAGTTGAATAGATATTAGGTCTTCCCTGAGCCTCTTCTTCTCCACACTGAACAATCCCAGCTCCCTCAGCCTCTCTCCATAAGAATTGTGCTTCAGACTCTTCACAGCTTCATTGCCCTTCTCTGAACATGGTCCAGAGCCGGAACTGAACACAGTACTCGAGGTGCAGCCTCACCACTGCTGAGTACAGAGGGAGGATCTCCCCCTGCTCCTGCTGGCTACACTGTTTCTGACACAAGACAGGATGCCATTGGCCTTCTTGGCCACCTGGGCACGCTGCTGGCTCATGTTCATTTGTATGTCCACTATCACCCCCAGATCCTTTTCCTCTATAGCTTTTCAGCCACTCTGCCCCAAACCTGTAGCATTGCATGGCATTGTCGTGACCAAAGTGCAGGATCTGGCACTTGATCAGAAGGAGTCTAATCCCTGTGATGCTGCAAATGTGAACAACTGTGCTTTACTTCTATCACTTTACCAAATCCAAATCTTGCACCCATCTGGTTTGTCAGCTCTGAGGGGTGCAGGGGACCAGCAGGGACAGCACTGCAGCCCAGCACAGCAGGAAGACATGCCATCACCACAGTACTCCGCTCCAGCCTGGCTCTGCCACAACCACCTCCCGTGCCCTCAGCTCTGGACGTGACTTTCTCACCTTTAAACCATTTCACAAGCGTCTCCCAGTCACGCCTGTGTGGGGTGCCAAACCATACCACTTACTGCATAACTTCAGGATATTAAGTCTTGTACAGTTCCAGCATTCAATTTAGGAAATCCCAAGTGATTAACCCAACATTTTAAACCAAATAATTTAGGAGGAAATTGTTCCACTGTTAACTCCTGCTGCTGCTCTCAGCATTCCCACACAGGCTGTAGCCTGGAAAGACGCTCTGTCCTCCACAGTGCCGATTTCTGCAGCAGTGCTGAAGCACTGCTCGCTGTCAGAGGTGTGCAGACACCCTGTGCTGTCTTTCAGGATTAAGAAGACACTTTAGAGATTTCTTGAGGATGGAAACTTTTGCGTTTGAATAGAGAGCAATGGAGGGTACATCACTGTGGGGAAAAAGTGAAAAGGAAGATAACAATCAATGTTATCTGTGTTATAGTGACATGGTATGTAAAGATTCAAGCTGATTAGCCTACAAATATCAGACAACACCATGAACGTGAAGATGTCCAACACATCTTTCCACAAGCAGCATAAAGGTGTAATAAAATCACGTCATTTATTAATGGCAATATATATGATTGCATTAAAGCGTGTTCTTTGTCACAATTAAAACTAAATGTAGTATTATTAAATTTAGAAACAATGTTAATTATAGCATGCTTTTTGTGGTATTCATTGAATTAAAGCTTTATTATTATTATCGTTATTATTATTATTATAAATACACACTATTACATTTGGATTAGTTGATCTTAGTGATCTTTTCCAACCTTAATGATTCTATGATTGTATGATCAGTGATCTTGAATTACCATTCTGTAACAGCCCACTAATAGTCCTTGTTTAAAATACAAGAACAAGGCATCTGCAAGTACAAAGAAAGCATTAAAAACTGGAGCCCCCAGGAAGATAGATGAGCTACCAGGGATCTGGAAATGGCAGATTCTATCATCTGATGTTGCCTGCACTCTTGCAATTAAAATGTCTCACTAAAGGTCTCCGTAGCTGAGCAAATTGTCCAGAAATGCTCAATCTTTGGGACTGGAAGTTCAGTCAGATAAGCACTGTATAATTATTCAGTAGTCACATGAATTTATCTAAACCTATTTGGACAGAAAATTGACCTGCTGATTTACCAAATCTCTCTCGTGCACTTTACAGTATTGCACATTTCGGTCTGCTTAGAAACACTTTCAGAATAGCTTCTCACTGTACTTTGATGCATCACACCAATATACATTGCCAGACTTTTACGGGCTCCTTTCAGTGCTCTTATTCAGCTGTGCATAGCAGTAAGAGTTGAACAGAACATCTTGTAATCCCAGAGCAATGACCCCTCCTGGCAATTTGGTAATAGCACTGTTTTCAAGAAGTGTATTTGTGAATCCAGTAAATGTTAAGAAGGTTCATTATGTTCCACCAAAATTATGGTTCTGGCTAAAAACAAACTGCATGAAAACAGAAGACAAAGGAAAATCCAGTGATAAAACCAAAAGCCCATCTATCCTCTCTTCAATAGCACCTAGAATGGGTTTCTAAAGCTTTCATTCAGAACAGGAAAAGCATGCTACTCTGTTTGCTCAGTCTACTTTCCCAACTTGTAGAAAACTGTGCTCCAGGGACATTTAAGAGGGATGGCCAGCAGGGCAAGGCAGGTTATCATCCCCCTCTGCTCTGCCCCTGTGAGGCCTCATCTGCAGTACTGTGTCCAGGCCTGAAGCCCCCAGCACAAGAAGGACATGGAGCTGCTGGAGCAGATCCAGAAGAGGACTACAAAGATGACCAGAAGGCTGGAGCACCTCTTTGAAGAAAAGTTGAGGGAGCTGGGCTTGTTCAGCCTGGAAAAGAGGCTCTGGAAAGACCTCACTGCAACCCTGAAGTGAGCTTATAGGCAGGAGGGAAATTAACTTTTTATACGGGTAGAGAGTGACAGGACAAGGGGGAATGGCTTTTAGCTAAGAGGAGAAATTCAGGCTAGACATCAGGGGGAAATTCTTCACTGAGGGAGTGGTGCGGTCCTGGCACAGGCTGCCCATAGAAGCTGTGGGTGCCCCATCCCTCCAGGCATTCAAAGCCAGGTTCAAGGCCATGGGCAGCCTGATTTGGTGGGCGGCAGCCCTGCCCATGGCAGGGGGTTGAAACTAGATGATCTTTAAGGTTCCTTTCAACCCAAGCCATTCTACAATTCTATGATTCTTGACTCTGTAACTTTGCAACTTAGCAGCCCTCCTTGGCACGGACCACTTCTGGCAATGCATGAACAGCTCCCATACAACCATTTGACTGTAAGCTGCAGAACTAAGATGGAATAAATTGTTATTTAAGTCTAT